CTCAGCCTGCGGCAAGAAACAGCGCTGCTCCTCAGCGTGCTGCATTGAGCGGCCCTCTGCAAACGCTCGTCGAGCACGCGAAGCAGTTCGGCCGGATGCCGAACGAAATAAAGGAACGTCCGAACAAGAACGGGCCGAAAACAAGTTGGCCAAACGTTTCTCGGACCATCGCGACCGCATCCCCAAAGACATTTTGCATGAACTGCGGGCCCCGGGCTGCGCTGATCAGCAGACGGAGACCGAGGAGCTCAAGCGGAAGCAGAAGACCGAGGAGCTCATGCAGCAAAAGCGAGACAAGACCGAGGAGCTCATGCAGCAAGTGCGAGACCTCGGCCGCCACCCGCAGGAGCATGCCGGGCGTAGCCTCGCAGAGCGGCAGCTGGCAGAGAAAGTCCGGAAAGCACGGAAGGCCAACCAGTTCTCCCCGGAGCAGGACGCCGAACTCCAGGCCTTCAAGCAAGCGGAGAGCGAAGCCACAACAAAGACTCGCATCGCGGAGGCGGAGGGCCTTCCAAACCCAATGGAAGGGTTCGCTGAGGAGGCGCAGAACAGGATCGACCAGGACCTGCCGATGCTCGAGAGTGGCATCTGGACTAAGGCAATCCTGCGGCGCCTTGCCGCCTACAATGAGCTTGTGTCCAGCCTCTCTGCGCGACACGCGGAATTCGCACAGCGGTGCGCGGAGCGGGTGCGCAAGGCGTCGGCCGCCCCGCGGGGAAGGGCTGCTACGTTCCCGGCGGCGAGGTGGAGGGGGGCCAGCTGCGCGTCTTCTCCGACCGCCCCGTCATGACGGGGCCGCTCGTGTGCCAGCTCTGCGACTGCGACTTTCTTGCAGAGGAAGACTTTGCGCGGCACAAGCAGCAAGACCACGCGGGCGAGGCGGAATACCGCAAACGGGCGCTGTTCCTGATGGCGGAGGCTGGCTGCAGGCCGATAACCGCCCAGGAAAAGATGCTCATGGTGCAGAATTTTGCTCACTTCCACAATCGCCAGGGAAGTGCTCGCATTTCTTTGAGTTCGTTCGCGCAGACGGCTCAGCCATGCGCCTGCATTGTATACCACAAGAACGGCCGGCCCGATGAGCCCACCTATGTCGGTCCACCACGCGCCGTTGCTCAGCCTGCGGTGCCTCGGCCTGCCGCTACTCAGCCTGATGTACCTGGTGGCAGCGCTGCTCAGCCTGCCAGGCCTAGCGGTGGCGCTGCTCAGCCTGCCGTGCCTGGCGGTGATGCCCCGCTGCTCTTCGCGCTGGATCACCTGCAAGAGGCCGCCCGCTCGCGCCAGACTGTGGGCCGCGACGAAGCGAACGCCGCTCTCCAAACGCCGTTGCACTACCACCATGGCGAGACCGCCCCAGGTGCTGTTGACATCAACGATGGCTCAGCGTTTGACTGGCTTCGATTGGTGGCACAGATCGAGGGCGCGCGCGACGTCATCCGGAATGGCGTCCACAGCGTCTACGTTGTCCGCTGGAATCCGCACTGGGCCCCAGAGGCCGTCTTCTGCTACGGCAACAACACGCACAGCGCACTGGCGCCTCGCAACGCGCGATACAATAGCTCATGGAGCCACGCGCGCATTGTGATTCGCCGACAGGCCAATTGGGTGACCGAGCCGTCGCTCTTTGCGGCCCCTGTGGCAGCTACGCCGTGGCTGTTGTTGCGGGATCAGGTGACCTGGGAGTGATCTCTGGCAAACAAAATGTGGCGCTTCTCAGCCTGCATTCATGTGACACGCAATGCCGTGGCCTGCACTCGCGTAGTTCTTCTCAACCTGCACTCGCGCGGTGCTTCTCAGCCTGCGCCTCCTCGGTACTTGCCAGCCGCCAGATTGGCGCGATTTCCTGCAATAGAAGCGGGAAAGGTGAAGTATCCGAGCCCGCGTGTCCACGGTGCTTCTCGGCGCGCGTACTTGTAATCCTAGTTCCAGCAGTAGTAGGACTGCGCGGCCGCGGTGCTTCTCAGCCTCCGAGTTTCCGCGGTGCTTCCCAGCCTGCAAGATTCGCCGGCTGTCCGCTTCACACGCCGCTCCTCAGTGCGCTCCTCTTCCGTTTGCGAGATGTCTTCCAAGATTTGGTTGGAGGCCGAGAAAGACGGACAGAACAAATCCAAGTAGCGCGGTCATCATCCCATCATCCTCCTCAATCATCACATCATCATCATCATCAATGGTTTCGCCGAGCACCCCGGTGGATACTCAGGTCTTACGGGTCCGTGCCCATACTACTACTACTACTACTACTACTACTACTACTACTACTACTACTACTACTACTACTACTACTACTACTACTACTACTACTACTACTACTACTACTACTACTACTACTACTACTACTACTACTACGACTACTACTACTACTACCTACTACTACTACTACTACTACTACTACTACTACTACTACTACTACTACTACTACTACTACTACTACTACTACTACTACTACTACGACTACTACGACTACTACGACTACTACGACTACTACGACTACTACTACTACTACTACTACTACAATTACTACTACTACTACTACTACTACTACTACTACTACTACTATTACTACTACTACTACTACTACGACTACTACTACTACGACTACTACTACGTCGACATCACACTAAATCCATTCATGGGAGTGCCTGTTTTGGAGCTACATTCATTGATGCAGGTGTGTCGTTTGAGGCTCAACCCGTTGATAGCAGTGTCTCGTTTGGAATCACATCCGTTAATAGCAGTGTCTTATTTAGGCCTCAATGCATTTATACAAAGATCTCATTTGGAGATACCGTTATCGAAAGCAGTGCTTCTACTGCTACTACCACCGCTCCCATCACTCCTACTCGTTCACTCCACACACTACAACTACTACTTCACTGTTACCACTACTACCATCACTACTACTTCTACTGCTATTACTACTGTTACTATTACTGCTGCTGCTGTTGCTGCTGCTAGTGTAGCTATTGCTACTGCAACTACTGGCAGTGCCACTGCGACTGCACCTGATGTTGCCACTGCGACTGCCACTGCGAATCCGAATGCGACTGCGAGAACACCAGAATTCTACAACAGCACTCTTACATGAATACCACAGGCAATGTTTCCAGCTATGCTTCTATACATCGCTGTTAGGTTGCTTTGCCGGGATAATTTTGTTGTTCGCGCCAGGCGTTGTCGCCATCCCGGAATCATCACAGATCGATCCGATAGTGCCTATGGCCCCAGTCGTGATTTCTCGCGACGTCGCCACTTGTTCCTCAACGTCGTACCTCGGGGGACCTCCGAAAACTCATGCTGGATCAACATTTTCTTATTCGAGGCTACCCCTCCTGGAAATACATGTCCTGGACTCCGATGTCCCTCCCTGCAGAACCGGGTGATCATCCTGGGTCGTGACCCGTCTGCGTCAGCGCAGGGCGGCCCGGGTTCACCCCTCCATGGGCCAATTCCCCCCTGTCGCTGCCGTTTTTGACGGCGTCGGGACCTGGTGAGGGCACCTGGAGGTGAGGGGCAACGATAGGGGGGGACTGGCATAGGGGGGGATGCATCGACCTGGCTTCGGCGATACATCGCCGACCAATAGTCAATCCGCACCTTCCTGGGCAGGTTGGGGCTATCGGGGCCCCATCGGCGATCAATGAGCGATTGGGGGTCGATGCATCCCCCCCTATGCCTATCCCCCCCTATCGTTGCCCCCGAGGAGGTCGACGAGTGTGGAACACCTCGGGTCTTGATTCACTTTTTGACGACCACCTGCAGGGGGGAGAATCAGATCCCCCGACCTGCTCGGGGGCGCAGGCCAAGATTTTCAAGGCGGACCCAGCCGTGGCGACAAGGAACCCCCTGGAGGGCCCACCAAGGGCAAACTCCGACATGACATATTTCAATGTGTGGCCCCGGCCCCTACCAAGGGGTAGTTTTTCGCCCTGGAAACACTCGATGAGGGCCCGGAAACGGCCCCAGACGGCCGACATCGATGAAAAAGCACTTGTTAACAAAAAACATAGAATTGGAAATCTCGGAGGAGCCCCTGGGAGCCCCCTGGAAGGGCGAAAAGCTACCAAGTTCGACCATCCCATCGCTCGACGCCTTATCTCTGGCCTCAGGCAGCCGATCGGGACGATCTGGTCACCCCCGAAACGTTCTCGCCGAGGCGCAGCTGCTGGAAGGCATCCCGATGCAAGAACCAGATCAAGAACCAACGAAGCTGTGTGCAAACCCGAGATGAACTCTGAGACCAGGTTGAAACTTGATAGAAAGAGTATTCATGGTGCTTCGCGCATCCCTACCAGCCCATCCAAAAACAATCACCAGGCGAGTTGCCTTGTTCAGGGATGTGTAGCAGCATGCAGTCACGCTCCGGGAGCCTCTGAAGGCATCTTGGGGACTGTGTGTGGGGCTCTCTTGGGACCAGTTTAGAGGCCTCTGGGGCTCTCTTGAGATTCCCTTGGGGCTCTCTTCGTGGTCGTCGATGAATGAAGGGAGGGTTCTCACTTACGGTCGAGAGCATTACACGACTGGAGGCAACCTAAACGGGGTCAGAAAAGATGGGGTCGGTGGATCGCGCCGTAACGCCGATACACTGGCCATGCATCGGCGGTGCACCGGCCATGCACCAGCAGTGCATCGTCGACGTATCGGCGATGCCTCGGCGATGCCTCGGCGACGCCGACGCGAAGCAGAACGGGGACCCCACGCCGAGCCGCATCTGCGATGCATCGGCGGTGCGGCGCGACCCTCCGACCTCACCAACCCAACCCAACCCGAAGACCCGAATTTCGGGTTGGGGGAGGGTACGGGTTTCATATGTTTTATTTCAATATTCCCCGACACCCCCCCCTGGAGATGGACGGCAAATCGGGGCCTTCGGGTTGGGTTGGGGTGGCTTGGTGGGCGGTGATTCACCAACTCCAACCCCATTCCCACAGCATCCCCGCCTCCTCGTCCCTGCTCTCCGCATCCCCCTCACAATCACTCATCCTGCGGGCCGGCGCGGGGCGCCTGCAGCAGGCACGCGCTGAAGCCACCGGGCGCGCAGCCGAGGTCCTCGCGCGCGCGCGCGGGGGCTGGGCCGCGTGTCGCAGCACGCCCGCCGAGGCCTTCGATCTCCCGCCAGGGCGTTCGCTTAGGTCGGGCATGTCCCCTTACAGGGGGTTTTGGACGAAAATCCGCCGGACCCCTTGTGGGGCCACCAGGCTGTAGGCGCGGGTTCGCAGTTTCCAGTACCAGTTGTAGCTTGTAGTTTCCAGTGTTACAGTTCTGCTTCTTGCTGGTTACTGTAACTAGTTGATTGACCGCGCGAGGGGGTACCACCCCTCACGCAGATCCGCGGGGTCAGGGTCCAAAACCACATGGGATTTGCCACATTTCTGAAATTCGGTGCCACCCCTCACGCAGATCCGCGGGGTCAGGGTCCAAAAACACATGGGATTTGCCACATTTCTGAAATTCGGTGCCACCCCTCACGCAGATCCGCGGGGTCAGGGTCCAAAAACACATGGGATTTGCCACATTTCTGAAATTCGGTGCCACCCCTCACGCAGATCCGCGGGGTCAGGGTCCAAAAACACAGGGGATTTGCCGCATTTCTGAAATTCGGTGCCACCCCTTACGCAGATCCGCGGGGTCAGGGTCCAAAAACACAAGGGATTTGCCACATTTCTGAAATTCGGTGCCACCCCTCACGGACATCCATCGCAAGGCGTGGTAACCCAAACTGCGAGTACTCCCTCGGCCCTTTAATCCCAAGGTGTTCACCAAGCTCGTAAACCATACACGTCTTACCAATCGCCCTGTGTGGTAACCCCGCTTGTGATCAGTTGGTTTTGCCGATTGCGAATCGGCCTCGCATGAAGTTCCGATACTGCTGCGCGACAGCGCCAAAGCCTCATGACTTAGCTCTTCCATGGCCCATTCTCCGAGAGAGGGGGCCGGCGGCAGGGGGCGAAGCCCTTACGGATAGAAAATACCCCACAAATAATCCCAAATAGTCAAAAAATACCAGAAAATCGTTCCCATACTATTTTCCTACTATTTGGGAATATTCCCCCTGCAGAGGGACAGGCCCGACTTAGGCGTTCGCTCTCGTTCTCCTGGGGCGGCGAGATCGTTTCATTGTCCACCGCCGCGGGCCAGGCCCATGCCGGGCCCAGGAGCGGTGTTTACGCCCCCCCTGGCTTGGCCAGGGAAGCGTGCTTCTTTACCTCTCCTGGCCCCAGGATGGGCCTGACCAGCGGCGGTGGATATGTGGAGATCTCGTCGCACTCTCTCTCTTTCTCTTTCTCTTTCTCTTTCTCTTTTTTTTTTCTCTCTCTCTCTCTCTCTCTCTCTCTCTTTCTCCCAATCTATAGATGTATGTGTATATATCTATGTACACATATATGCATACATATCTATATCTAAATATATATATATATATATATATATATATATATGCTCACGCTCTCTCTCTCTCTCTCGTTTCTATATGTTGTTTTTTCTCTCTCTCTCTCTCTCTCTTCCCCCCAAATATCTGTCGATCTTTGAACTGGCGGCTACTCCTTGCTCTCATCCGTCAGGGGCCGTCTTTGACCCCCATCAAAAAACGAACCTGAAGAAGACATCCGAGGCACCACAAGCAACCCAAGAAGCGCAAACGGCGGTCGCCCGCTTCTTATTCTCCAGGCCAGGGCTGGAGCACGAAAGAGCACAGGAGGAGAGGAGCAGCAGAGGAGGGAGAGGAGGGCGGGGGAGGGAGTCGTTGGGTGACCCACAAGGGGGTCCAGCTGAAAGGGGGTGGTGCAATAAATTTGGGGCAAGTGTCTTGCAAGAATACTGCGCCGGAGAATTGTACTGCATTGTACTGCATGTAACGTATTGCACGCGAAAGTACAACAATACACTTGCACCCCGAGATGTACTGCACGCCCCAAATGTATTGCAGCCCCGCAAATCTATTGCACCAAATCTATTGCACCACCCCCTTGTCGCTGGACCCCCTCTAGGGTCAACCCGAGCGACGGGGGGAGGCCCAGAACAGATGCCTTTCTAGAAGAACTTGCTGTGTGCCTGGCGGTGCCACTGGCGCCGGAGGTGCCGCCAGGGGCGCCCAAAACTGCTCGACGAATCCAATGGTTTAACGCTCCCCTTTCGTCGACTTGTTCGACTATGTTTTAGCTGGTACGTTGGTCTTCGACTTTCTCCTCTTTGTTTTCTTCCCTAAGTTGCTACTGCAAAGGCATCGCGCCCAATAGTAGCAACCAGTCCAAACCCTGGCTGGCCAGACTCGCCCAAGGCAACGATGTAGGCGGGGAGTGGGCGAGATCGGGTCCGTATTAAAGCCTCCGGCGGAAGCCTGTCTTCTCCTCGAGGAGTCCTTTTCCTCCTCCTACTACTTTTGTTTATGCTCCTCCTCATCATCCTTCTCCTCCTCCTCCTCCTCCTCCTCCTCCTCCTCCTCTTCCTCCTCCTCCTCGTCCTTTTCCTCCTCTTTTTCCTTCTTGTCCTCATCCTCCTCCTCCTCCTCGATATTCTCCTCCTCCTCCTTTCCTCCTTCTCCTCCTCCTTCCTCCTCCTGGCTCATTATCCTGCTTCTCTCCTCCTCCTCCTCCTCCTCCTCCTCTTCCTCCCCCTCTCCTCGTCAGTGCTCTCCTGCTCTCCCCCTCATCCGTCCTCCTGCTCAGATTTCTCCCATTCTTCCTCCCCTTCCACTATCTTTAGATCTGGCATGTGCCCTTACAGGCGTATTTTTGGACGAAAGACTTAACAAATGCCCCCCAAATTGCTTAAAGATATTCAAACCATCGTCCCCAAACTATTGTTTGACTATTTTTGAATATTCCGCCTGTAGAGGGACATGCCCGATTTACCACTATCTCTCCTTTCCCCCTCCTGGAGGAAGGACCAACGGCGTAAACACGAACGCTCGGGGTTCCCTGCGGAAAAATCTTGGATCGGCCAAAGGGGGCCCATATGCGCCTCTCCGAGAAATGCGCGCGGACCTCCGAGGAGTTGACGCTCATTCAACTTGTCCTTCCTCGAGGAGAAGGAGGCGGAGGAGGAGGATTAGGAGGAGGAGGAGAAGGGGAGGGAGCAGGAGGAGGAGGAGGAGGACGAGGAGGATCCTTCAGCTCACTCAGTTTCCTCGCCTTGCCGTGTCTCCTCCTGCTGCTCCTGCCAGGACGGACCAGGGCCGGGGCTCGACGAGACCTCGACGAGAGCTGGGGCTGAAGAAGGAGGGGGGCCTGGCGGTGAGCCCAGGTGTAACTAGCCCCCTCCGCCTGGGAGCAAAACAGTTGTCCTGACATGGGCGCACCCGTCAAGTTTCATGGTTTTTTTGTTCTCTCTCTCTCTCTCTCTCTCTTTCTCTCCCTCGCTCTCTCTATCTCTTTCTCTCTCTCTCTCTCTCTCTCCCTCGTTCTCTCCTGGCTCTTCCCGTCTTGGGCGGCGACCCTCCTGCTCCTCCTCCTCCTCCTCCTCTTCCTCCCCCTCTTCCTCCACCTCGTCCTCCTCCTCCTCCTTCCCCTCCTCCTCCTCCTCCGCCTCCTCCTCCTCCGCCTCCTCCTCCTCCGCCTCCTCCTCCTCCTCCTCCCCCTCCTTCTCCGCCCCCTCCCCCTCCTCCTCCTCTTCCTACTCCTCCTCATTCTCATCTGGTTCACTGTTTCACTCGCATGTCCCAAGACCATTCGCAAACAGCAAGGGACAAAAACCTCGACTGCGATCTGCCCTGAGCCTCTGGCCTACGGCGTGTCGCAAGGGGCTGGATTCGCATTGCCGCCTCGGCACGCGTCGTCCTCCCATCCTCCCCCCATGCCCCCCACCCGCCCTTGAACGCAATGCGAGCCACGACGGCCCATGCATTCTGGTGCTGGGGGGGGGAGAACAAGGTGTAGAGACCCTCGACAGCTGGAGTGCAACCCGAGGGCCCCATAAGAACACACCCACACGCACACGCACCATGCCACGCGCCCTCATAGTCGAAGTGGGCCCTACAGTTCGCTGTTTAGGGCTGTGGGCTCATTGTGAAACGTTGCTTGCCTTGAAGCACGACTGTGCACAATCAGATGTCGTCAAAATCGATACCTGCGCTCTTGGAGGGATACAACAGTGAAGAACACAGCTGGCAAGTAACGGCAAAATGTTGCAGCAACGCGCAATGTATAAGCATACTGCCAGGAAGCCACAATCAAAAACTCTGAGGTATACCACGAAACCACATTCAGCAATGTACCAAACCATGCTGCAAACAACAAGCCGAGGCTAACATGTAAACATAACACAATCGCAACAACATACCTCCGAAGAGAGAAAATCGAAAGCCGCCACTGCTGCTGGCATTCCGCCTCCTGCGGGGATCCAATGCCAGAGATGGGAGCACCAAGCCGAACTCCTCGGTCTCGCACACGAAGACGGCCGTGAACATCCAGAAACAGGCGACGATCCCTGCTGTCCGGCAAACCCGCCAGCCTCCTTGATAACCGAGAGCTCGTATCGGCACCAACCTCAGCTGCAACGGAGCCGCGAGAGGGACGAGTGCCAAGCTGCTCGTAAGTGGCCTGGAACACACGGCCTTCGCCAGGATTCAAAGGAAGAGAAACGAGCGCCCAAATAGTAGCACCCCCCTTTCAGAGCCATCAGCCGCAGGGGGGGCACGGACCACACGGCTGGAAGCTGTCCTGCTCCAGCTTCTCCATCGCGAGGCTCGTCACGAGCACGGTCGCCAAGAAGGTCCGCACGCACTGGCAACACAGCGCCCGCATGCCCGCGGAGGTCGGGCTGCACATCCTGCTTCTGCAGCTCGGCCAGCAGCGCGTCGAAGTCGCCCGCCGACCCGAGGGGCTCTTCGATGTCCCAGTCGGGCTGCTGCGCCACCAAAGCAGCGGCAGGCATGGCGCCCACTTGCAGCACTGCCTCCCGCAGGGGCTGCTGCGGAGTGACCAGCAGGGGCTCGACTACCTCGACGAGCTTCGTGAGGCTCTCCTCCAGCTCGGCACCCCATCCAGTCCCAGGACTGAATGGCTGGGCGTCAGCATTGAACTGGAAGCCTGGCTCGCCAAAGTGGACATTCTCCAGCTGCCGCGACTCGAGCCTGGCTTCGCCTTGAGCACGCCGTAACTCCCCAGCACTGGCGGGCGAGATCCTCAAGTCAACGGCCACCGCGTGCAAGGCGACGTTCTGGCGCATTTTGTCTAGCCACACGGGCTGGCGGACGGCGACCAGGGCTTGCAGCGCCGGGAGAATGCTGCAGAGGCGATCGGCAAGCTCCGAGTCGCTCACGAGCGCAGCCAAGGCCGCCTCCGCCAATTGCAGCTGTCCCTGCGTCTGGTCCAGCTCCCTGGAGAAATTCGCGATGGCGCGGTCGGCCGACCGCTCGGCCCACTGCCGACTCGCCTTTCTGTCGGCAGCAAGCCGCAAGGGCTGCGCAACACCCGCAGCCTCCCGTAGAGACATCCCGCCGAAGCGCACCCCCGCCGCCATCGACCCGCGCGCGCGAGGAGGAAGGGAGGAGCAGCTTGAGCCAAAATGGCTACGAACTCCTCCTCCTCCTCCTTTTCCTCCTTTTCCTCATCCTCCTCCTCCTCCTCCTCCTCCTCCTCCTCCTCCTCCTCCTCCTCCTCCTCCTCCTCCCCCTCCCCCTCCCCCTCTCCCCTCCCCCTCCTCCCCTCCTCCTCCTCCTCCTCCTCCTCCTCCTCCTCCTCCTCCTCCTCCTCCTCCTCCTCCTCCTCCTCCTCCTCCGCCTCCTCCTCCCCCTCCCCTCCCCCTCCCCCTCCTCCTCCTCCTCCTCCTCCTCCTCCTCCTCCTCCTCCTCCTTCTCCTCCCCCTCCCCCTCCTTCTCTTCCTCCTCCTCCTCCTCCTCCTCCTCCTCCCTTCCCCAGGGCCTCCCAAAGGGGGGAGGGCCGCGCCCGCGCCGCTCCAAGAAGCGCGGCTGGGCCACCGTGCCCACGGGGGTCGCCTCGTGGTGGCGGCGGCCGCGGGGTCCTCTCCCCGTCCGCCTCCGCCTCCTCCAGGAGGGGGGAGAGAGAGGAGGACGGAGACGAGGACGAGGACGAGAGGAGGAGGAGAGGATGAGGAGGAGGAAGGGGGGTCCTCCTCCGCCTGCGCCTTGTCTTCCTCCTCCTCCTCCTCCTCCTCCTCCTTCACTCCCCGTCCTCCTCCCTCTCGATCGCGGCATCCTCCTCCTCCTCCTTCTCCTCCTACTCTTTCTACTCCTCCTCCCTCGTCCTCCTCGTCCTCGTCCTCCTCCTCCTCCTCCCCCCTCCTCCTCCTCCTCCTCCTCCCTCCTCCCTCCTCCTCCGCTCATCATCATCATCATCATCATCATCATCATCATCATCATCCTCATCCTCATCCTCATCCTCATTATCATCCTCATCCTCATCCTCATCCTCATCCTCCTCCTCCTCCTCCTCCTCATCATCATCATCATCACCACCACCACCACCATCACCATCACCATCACCATCACCATCATCATCATCATCATCATCATCATCATCATCATCATCATCATCATCATCATCATCATCCTTCTCCTTCTCTTAAGCTCAGGCAGGACGTGTGCAGGTGTGAACACCCTCCATTTGGGCCCATCAGGTGTGAGCACCCTCCATTTGGGCCCCTGCCACGAAAGGCCTCCACAACAGACCAGGAAAAAACGCAGGAGGTAATTCGCCCTTCTTCGTCCCCCTTCATCTTCCGCCTCTATCGCTGGTCCACCTTCTACTCCCTCGTCCCCTCCTAGGCTCCTCGTCCAATTCCTTTCTCCTCCCCATCCTCCTCCCGTCCACACCCCCATGCATGTATCCTCTAACTTTACCACCTGGCCAAACAATACCGTGCCAATCTGGGACTCCCCATCCTACCCGTCAGAAAACAAGTCCCACTTTATGTTGTTGCTTTCAACATGGACGTCGACACATGCGCGGCAGAAATGGGACGGGGGACCATCCCGCGCGAAGGGGCGAAAGGGCGGCCCGACGCCCTCGGAAAGACCCTCGTGGGGAGACGAACAGGTACCTTCTACCGCTACTCCCTGGACCCCTCCTGGGGCTCTCTCTGACCAGAGCCAAGGCGGAACCTAGACGGTGTTTTCCGTTTTCGTTTTGTTTTCGTTTTCTCGCTTTTGTCTCCCATCCGCCTTCGCTGCAAAACGAAGCCGAACCCACGAAATCACCAAAAAACACCGTTCAGGTCCGGCCCTGACCAGAGCTCCGAGGAGCACCCGGCCGCGGCGACGAGGGCTCCCCGGGACGAGCAGCGGCACCGCCGCTCCTGCTCCCCCCGTGACCTCGGTGCCGCCGTGGTGCCCGGCGCCCCCCCCCGGCGGCGCTCCCGGACACGGCGGGTGGGCCGACTCTCGGTGGCCCCGCGGCCGAGGACTCCCCGCGCCGCCCTGCCCCATTCCCGGCCATCGCTCGGACGTCCATTCCCCGTGCTTTTTGTCGGCTTCGTGCGTGGTTTTTCTCGCAGGATGATCCAGGATGCTCCTTAATAGTCCCCGCCGAGAAAAAGTGCACACGTCCGAGCGATACCAAGACTCGGGCCTGCGGCGTGTTCACGGCGCGCGCAAGGGGGTGGAGGGAGGGGGGAGGGCTTTTCAGGAGGAGGCTGCTTCTGAGGGGGCGCCAACCTGGCATCTGCAGAGGGGGCCCGCGCCTTCCAAGAAGCAAGGGTGTTTCTAGGAAGCCCTTCCCCTCCCCCCACGCCCCTACGCGCGTGGCTGAGGATGGCGAGAGCGCTCGGGTTCACGATGGGCGCTACGGGACGCCTAAGAGGGGGGAACAAAACAGTCTGGTCCTGATGGGCCCGTTTTCCACCACCACCACCACGACCACAAGCAGGGGGGCAGGGGGTCTTCCTCCTCCTCCTCCTCCTCCTCCTCTTCCCCCTCCTCCTCCTCCTCCTCCTCCTCCCCCTCTCTCCTCCTCCTCCTCCTCGTCTTCCACCTCCTCCTCGTCCTCGTCCTCGTCCTCGTCCTCGTCTTCGTCCTCGTCCTCGTCGTCCTCGTCGTCATCCTCCTCCCTCCTCCTCCTCCTCCTCCTCCTCCCCATCCATCCTCCAACTTCTGGTGGTAGTGGTGGAAAACAAGCCCATCAATTCTCCTGCATCAAGCCCGAAAGACGCGAAACCATTGTTAGAGATGCGACTCTGGAACCGGCAGGCTGTCCTGCCGCGGGACCGCCATCGCCCCTTCCTCCCTGGTGAAGCGGAGACGCAAAAGGTAAAAGTGGTGACGTCCAAAAGGTACCGATACCGCCATTCCAAAGACCTCTCACGGGGTGCGTTGTGACCAGAATCCCACCAGCACTTTGGACTAGCGATGTCTTCGTTCTCCCCTCCCAACGCCCCTTACCCATCGGGGAAGATCCCCCTCCCCATCCCGTCCTGATGTTTTTTTGGGCTGGCCGCGAGGTGTCAGGGCGCCCGAGATGGCTCCAGGAGGGCCGCCTACTTCTCAGAAGTGACCCCCAAGGTGGCTTCCGACATGGCCCCAAAGGCCAGACGAGGGCCCTGAGAGAGTGTCAAGTTCACTCGGAACCCCCACAGGACTGCCCAAAGACGTCAAAAACCGTTCAATACCTGAAGAGAATCAGTGAGTTTGCCTTCTCGCCTTTTCGCTTCCAGTGCGCTTGAGGTTTCAAGAATGCCCCACGAAGGCCCAAGAGAGCCCTAACAAGGGCCCTGGAGGCCACCCAAAAAACTCCAACTGAGCCCTCGATTGGCCCAAAAACGTCCCAAGAGCGCCCTAGGCCCTAATATTAAGTCGGGCATGTCCCCTACAGGCGTTTGTTTTATAAAACAATTAGAATACTCCGAACGTGGGGCCCCGCACGCGAATCGATTTAGCTTGCCCCTCGGCTTTCTCTTGTTCGTGTGGCGGAGGTGTCATTCCGCCCTCTCCGTCCTCCTCCTCCTCCTTCTCCTCCTCTTGTTTCTTCTCGCCCTGCTCGTTGCACATCGCATCTTCATCCTCTTCCGCCTCCTCCTCCTCCGCCTCCTCCACCTCCTCCCTCTCCTCCTCTTCCAGCTCCTCCTCCTCGGCCTTTGCCTGGCCCTCATCCACCTCCTCCTCCTTCTCTCCCTCCTCATCGCCGCCCCTCTCGTTCTCCTCCTGCACCTCTCCTTCCTCTTGGCAGGGGCGCGCGCGCGCGTTGATTTTCCTCGGCGTCCTCGCCGCCACGCCTGGCAGGGGCGCGTGACGGCGAAATCGCGCAGCCGTCGGGGACAGCCCCGCGGGCCAGGCCGTCGAGACAACCCCGCGAGCCGCTGGCGCGAAGCATTCATAGAAGGAGCTCCCGCTCCAGACTTCCCCAACCCTAAAACCCCAAGGGCCCGAAAATGCAGACAGTTAAAAGGTTTACGATGTCCAGCTCGGATTGCCAATATGAAGCGCGGGCCCCACAGGGATCGGGCTCCCGCCTGAGACCTCCTCGCCATTCACTCCCAAACGAGACTCCCGCCTGATACTTCCCCCAGGTTCACGCCTGAAGAAGCCTAAAACGAAGACGGTTACAGGTTTGAGGACGACACGCTCGAATTACTCACATGAGCTGCGGGCCCCATAAGGACGGGGCTCCCGCTTGCGACTCCCTCGCAATTCACTCACAAACGAGGCTCCCGCCCGATACTTCCTCCGTATTCAGGCCTGAGGGGCCCAACAAGAGACGACAGATACAAGATCCCGGCGGCAAGCTCGGGTTGAAACATTAAACGCGGGCCCCATAGGGAGGGGGTTCCCACCTGAGACTTCCTCACAGATCACTCACAGACAGGCCTCCCGTCTGATACTTCCCCCATGTTCAGGCCTCAGAAACCCAAAAGTGACGACAATTACAAGACCCCGATGACCTGCTCAGAATAATTTGGTGAGCGACGTGCCACATAAGGTGGGGGGTCCCGCATGAGATTTCCTCGCGATTCACTCACGGACGAGGCTCCCGCCTGATACTTCTCATGTTCAAGCCTCAGGGCCCAAAAACGACGACAGTTACAAGATCCCGATCGGATTGAAAACATGAGTGGAGGGCCCCCACAAGCAGAGGGCTCCCGCCAGAAACTTCCTCACAGTTCACTCAAAGACGAGGCTCCCCGCCTGATACTTCCTCCATATTCAGGCCTCGGGAGCCCCAAAATGACGACAGCTACAAGGATGAGGATGACCCGCTCGGATTAAACATGAAGTGCGGGTCCCATAGGAAGGGGGCTCCCGCCTGAGACGTCCTCACAGATCACTCACAGACGAGGCTCCCGCCTGATACTTCCCCATTTTCAGGCCTCAGGAGCCCAAACGTGACGACTGTTAGAAAGATGAGGATGACCTTCTCGGATTCACTACTCCGAAAGGGGAATGACCCCACATAAACATCCTTCCGGCTAATCTGGAACTCATCTTCACTGACGTCCTCGCGATTGGTGAGGCGCCCTTATTGCCTTCTCTGCGTCATTCTCATTCTCGCCCTGGCGCAGGGCCCTCATCCGCTCCCCTGCTGTTTGTTTCGTCAACCGAGGCGTGGTTTGGGTTACCACCCCCGGCCCGGACGTACCGAAGCGGCATATTGGAGGCAATCTTGGGCCTTCGCCCTGCCCCCGCTTCGACCGAGGATGGGTTACCACCACCGGCCAGGACGCAAGTGTTTCCCCCTGCGCCCAGGGGGGGCATCTGTATTACATCTACCGATCTACACACATGTATAGACTTATGATCTATGTATGTGTACAGATGTGTATGTATGTATGTTTACACATCTATATAGATATATAGATATATATACATAAAGAGAGAGAGGTATATATCTATATATATATTTATATACATATATGCACATGTACACCCGTCGGTCGGAAGAAGCGGGTAGAACAATGAATTAGTCAGGCGTTGAAGTAGATTTGGCTTCCGCACGCCCCCTGAGGACAACGGGAGAGGGAAAACCGTTCGACCCGTGATATAGGAAGGCGACCCCGGCGGCGCCTCCGGCGCCGCTCCTGGCGCGCTCCGCGCGCCAGGGGGGGGGCCCAGCGCAGATCCTAGAAATCCGCGCGGAGCGCCACAAGTTTATGTTTATGTTTTGTGATTCTGCTTCGACTAAAATAGGTTGGGATCAGGAGATCCAAGAATTACTTACTTTCAACGACCAGCGTGTGCACATACCTCGCGAGGCACAGGGCGGCCGTGCACCGATGCCCCCCCCCGCGCGGAAAGGGTGCCCATGGCATCGCTCGTCCGAGGGGCCGCGCCCAAGCATCCAGACCGCAGGGGGAATGGCTACAGTCGGACTTCATTGGACAGAACACGCGAGAGGACAAAAGGCCCTTCCGGGGGCCACATTGCCGCAGAAATGCAGGAGGCACGGGTCGCGAGACACAAGACACGAGGGTACACTTGATTTGGCAAGGTCGACCTACTAATCCGGGCCGACTGTACGGACTCAGTGCGGGCGCGGTCGCAAGAAACCCGCGCAAGGAAGCAAATCCTGAAGACCCACGCGCGACGGTGCACCTGAGGAGAAACACGGAACACCCTGAACGCAGCGGCTCACTCGACGGCCGCGGAAGGTCGCCGCGCAGCGCGCAGAGCGAAGAAACCCAGGGCACCCGGACGAAAAGTGCATGGCTTCTTGACGCGCGCCCAGAATGTATGCCTCGTCGCTCCTGGCATTAGGTCGGGCATGTCCCTCTACAGGGAGATTTTGGACGAAACATAAAACATACCCCAAACAAATTTTCCGAAATGGCCCAAAATAATGGGAACATCGTTTTCCCACTCCTCCTGTACAAAGCCGTGCCCGACGTAACTGTATGCCTCGCCGCTCCCGGCACCAGGCTGCGGAGCGGAGCGCGCAAAGGAGGCGGCGGACCGACCAGGACCACCATAGCCGACGCAGGACCTCCACCCGCCAGGCCGAGGGGACCGCTCGCCATGGCGGCGCAGCGGACCACTTCGGCGCCGAGCGTGGCGAAGTCGCGGTGGTCGAAAAGCTCCTCCCGCAGAGGGGGGGCGGGGGCGAGAGGAGGAGGAACACAAGGAGGAGGAGGAGAGGAGGAGGAGGAGGAAAGGGAGGAGGAGGAGGAGGAGGAAGCTCCTCGGGGTCCGGGAGCGGAGGGCCCACCCACGCACGCACCCGCACGCATGCACACGCACGCACGCACACACATACACACACGCACACGCACACGCACGCACACACACACACACACTCACACACACTCACACATTCACACACACTCACTCACACTCACACGCACGCGCGCACGCTCGCGCGCACACGCACGCACACGCACGCACACGCGTTCACACAAAAACACGCGCACACACATTTCCCACATACACACACAACCACGCAACACACAACACACACACACACACACACGAACGCACGCGCGCACACACACACGATCGCACGCACGCACGCACGCCCGCCCGCCCGCCCGCACGCACACACACACACACATATATATATATATATATATATATATATATATACATACATACATACATACATACATACATACATACCAACCTACATACATATATAAATACATACAAACATGCATACATACATACATACACACACGCACACACACACACGCATACACACACGTTCGAATGCACACAAACACACACACACACACACACACGCACACACACACACACGCACGCACGCACACACACACACACACACGCACACGCACACGCACACACACACGCACGCACGCACGCACGCACACACAAACACATATACACAAACACACCCACACACATGCACACACACACGCGCACGCACGCACACACGCACGTACGAACGAACACGCAAACACGCGCGCACACAAACACACACACACACATACACGCACTCACACGCACGCGCGCACGCGCGCGAGCACAAACGTGCACGCGCGCGCACTTGCGCGGCCCTGCGCGCCGCGACACAGCGGAAAAAAAACGTATCGCAACGAACGCAGGCGCGACCAAAAACGCCCGAGCACGCACGCACTGACTTTTTCCTCCGCCGGGCGTAGTGTGACATCACTGCCGCGACGGCAAGGGGAAACGGCGAGATCAGGACAGAAGCGCCCCGCGGTGTGGATGAGAGGCAGGCGGGAGATCTACAGTCAACCCGAATAGTAAGGACGCACCATAAGGATGCAACGGCTTTTGAAAGGCCATGCCGATGCTTTGCGAGCGATGTGCGGCCAGCGACAGCTGCCAAGGATGGGCCGACGAGGAAGGATGCAAGGGTAACCGTGGAAAGCTGCTCATCCTTACGATGCGGGTTGACTGTAGGCCCGCCGGCATGCGCGAGGACTGTATAGCCAGCCCCCCAGGGTGGCAAAACCGCACAGCACAGCAGCGGGGAACGCGCGCGCGCTGGCGGCGGGGCGCGAGCCGACCACGCGGGCAGAGCAGCCGCAGTGCCTGACAAAAGTCCAGGCAGGGGCACGCGCGTCCCGAGCGAACAGCATAATCACATACTCTCGGAACTCCACGCGGATTTCTCGGATCTGTGCTGCCCCCCCCCCCCCCGCGGCGCATCCGACGAGGCCCCCGGCCCGCTCAACGCGGCAGGAAAGGGGGTCCTTCGCAGATCCAAGAAGCGAGAGCGGAGCTCAACAACTGTTTAGATTGTGTTCAAACAGTGTGAATGCATATGTATAAATGGAAATGAATACCTGTACCTGCACATATATATATATATATATATATATATATATATATATATATACATATACACACCCTCTCTGTCAATATCTATGTGGGTAAATGGAATGTATGTGTGGAGGTGTATATGTGTATGTGTATATGTACACATATGTATATACACATACACACCTGTAGCATCAGCTATGCTATGAAGGGCAGCGCTCCGCGAGTCAGCTCAACCCAAAACTGGCGCTGATCACTGTGACCATCACTCCTTGCATGTCATAGTTGTGGTTGGTATTCTAAACCTGACCCTGAGGGCCTACTTTGAGGAGTCAGCTGCGTGTGATGGGGGGGTGGCCTCAGGCAGTGTGCAGCTCCCTGTGGCGGGGGACTTAGGGGCTGTCCAGGCTTGAGTACCTTGGCGGGGCCAACCCCTGCCCCCCCGACTGCCAAGGGAGCCTCGCCAGGCGGGGCCCCGACTGGCAAGACCCGAAGGTCGACCACCTGGCGGGGCCTCTGGGCAGCGGGGGCGCAAGCGTGCGACCAGCCGCGGAAGGCGAGGGACGAGGGGGAAAGCACCCGTCTTTTAGACGCAGCCTTACAAACCATGTTCGGCTCGGGGCGGCGGGTCGCGTAGTGTTCTCAATGCGCCGCGTGCACGCGGCCGCCCTCGGACGTAAAGCAAGCGGAGTTCACCGCGTCATTGTCGAACTCGCCCCCCCCCCCCCCCACACCACCAAAGGCGCATGGCGGCCAGCGTCAAGATTTTGACCGAGTTGCGGGCCGAGAGGGGGGGAAGGAGGCAGATAGCCCAGATCTATCCAAGCAACAAGTATGGGTATTGATTGAATTCGACACTGTCGCACCATCTCTGGACCACGAAGACAATGACAGCATCGAGTGTAACATATCAGCGGGTTAATGCTTTGTGCGGAGTCGTGCTGGATCCACCGTCGTGGCCGACATCGACTGCCGAAAGTCTGCTTCCAATGGTACCAACCCTCGTCTCACCGAATCTAGTAGCCCCTCTGAATGTCGGCCAAAATGTTATGCTGGCTTGGCGTCATCCTCGCTGTTTCTGCTTGCCGCGCTTCTTGCCTTCGCAACTGCTGCGCCGCCCGCTCGTCCAGCAGCTGCCGCGCCGCCCGCAGCAGAGGGCCTCGCGGCGCGGGCCCCCTCTCGAGGAACGCGCCCCTGCGGCGCAGCTCCACCGCCGGCGCGTCCTGCACCGACGGGTGCTTGGCATTGAGGGCCAGGGCCAGCTCCGCCATGCCTGGCTTGTTATCCTTGGGCTTCGTGGGCCTGCACTTGACATGCAGGTCCGGCCCCTGCGCCTCTGGCGCGCTCTTGTCCTTGGTGCTGGTCACCCAAAACTGCAGGATGATGTCTTTCGACGTCTGCTCGCGGGCATCCTCGTTGAGTCACATCACCATCGCCGTGGAGATGTGCGCGCTTTGGGCCGAGTTCCTCCAGGCCTGTTGTCGTCGTTTTTGCCTTTGAGCTCCAGCGCCGCGTCGCGGTTGGTTTTTCCCGCGGCATTCATGGCGATCGCCGCCTTGCTGGAGGGGGGATGGAGCAGCGCGACGCACGCCAGGCCAGCGACGTCGCGTACTTTTACTTAGCGCCAGCCTGGCGAGGGCGGTGGCGAGGCGACCGAGAAAGTTGTCGTCCTTGCCTTCGCCCTCCACCAGCGCCTCCCACTGTGCGGTGTTGCTTCCTGCGCCTGGGGTCCTCCTCTGCGTTGTCGCCCTGTTTGTGCTTGGTCGCGAACTTGGTTGGTTCGAGCTCCATCTGCATCCCCCCGTCGCAGCAGGGCGCGCGCGGGCGGGGCGAAGCTGCGTAGGCGCGCGAAAGGAATGAACCTGCCGCTGCTGGGGCGAAGTTAAGACAAATGATTAATCCAGAAGCCGCATTAAAGTGATCATTTGTTTTTTGGCCCCCCCTCTGTCACAGAGGGGGTCAAATATGCCCCCCCTCTGTCACAGAGGGGGTCTGAGATGCCCCCCCCCTCTGTCACGGAGGACCTCGTTCTGGGTGCACTTCTGCCACGGGAGCTCCCGATACGATTGGAGACGATAAAATGCGATAGCGGGATGGGGGATTGGAGGGGGGGGGAGAAGAAAACGATGAAGGAGAGGAGGCAACGACAGCACCGATGAAAGCACCGTTTCTTTTTCCTTCTCCGCTCGGGCAGCGGTCGCCGAGCACGACGGCGCGCGCGAGTCGCCGCCGCTCACGATGCATTGGCAAGGCCTCCGCTGCTGCGGAGGGTCGACGTTCGGCCGATGAGGCCTCCCTCCGCTGCTGCGGAGGGGCGGCTCCTGTGCGATGGTTCAGCTAAGTTTTTCCCAGGGATTGGTTTCGGGGGGGGGTTCGACCCACCTCCAAGTCGTGGTCGCGACCTCCCAGTGCCCCTGGCCGCTACTCCACCCACTGTGGCTGCTCCACCAGTCACTGGGGCGTTGGTCGCTGCCGAATGCAACTTGCATGTCGCGCCAGGCGGAGTCGACCATGCGGTCCTGCAGCGAGGAAGCCTCGCCGCTCGGCTGTTGCCACTCGCGCTCCTCGCCCTCCTTGGTGCGCCACCACTCATCCCTGCGCCACTCCTCGTCTGTTGGTTGCTGCCGTGGCGTTTGTGGCCTCCGCTGCTGCGGGGGCTCTGGCGGCTCGTGGCCGAGGGCAGCGATCGCGTCCGAGATGTAGATGGCGGCGCCGCGCTGCCCTCGCTGCTCCAGCGGCGCAGGCCCTGGAGATGGGCACTGCGGGGTCGGCTGCCACCTTGGGGGTGATAAATAATTATTTCTATATCCCCTCCCTGTCAACTCCCGCCCCTTCCCGACACTCATTTCCTTATGTCATCCCTCGTCCTGCTCAGCCTATTCCTCATTCCCTCTCCTCCCTCCTGCCCTCCCCGTGCTCCACCGCCCCTCTCCCTCCCTCCCCCTTTCAACCCCCCGCCGCGACCTTCCATCGCCAGCCGCGGGCATGTCGCGGCCGTCGTCCGCGCTTTCGTCTGCCCATCTTGGTGGGCGCCACGCCTGTTGGGCGCGCTCGTCTTGCTCGCCCCTCTCGCTGTGCTGCTCTGGTGCCTGGCGCTCGGGCCCGTGCTGCTCGGGCGGCAGCGGCGCCCTGAGCGCAGCTGCCAGCTGTTTCTGGGCGCGCCTGTCCTTCTTCTCTTTGGCTCTCTCCTGCTTCCTCCCCTGCGAACGCACGCTGGCCATGCGCATTTGGAACAGGAGAGGGTAGTGGGCGCCGCCGTGCCAGCGCCCCTCCACCTCCACGGTCTCTGGCGGGAACGTCTTCTGCAACGCGCGGAAGAGGGTCACCTCGCGATTAC